AGGAGATTCTTTGGCAGCCCTAGATGACAATTTGCATCTGTTTTCAGCACAAAACTTATCCTCCTCCCCTTACCCACTGTACAAGTAAAAACTCCCGGTAAGGAACAATTTCCAGTAACTGTCCCATAGTAACTACCAAGAGTTACTGAAACTCTATATGAATGCGAAGTTTATTGACTTTTGTTAAGATATGCATACAAAAGAACTTATATAAAAATATAATTTTTTATTAAAAAGATACATATATGGGCCTCCCTGCTGGCGCAAGGGGTTAAGCACCACACTATGAAGCAGTCCACAGCCTCTGCAGCATGAGAGCCAGCCAGAGAGAAACCCACATGGCAAATCAGACCTCTCCTGTCTCACCCCCTGCTCCCCTCAGCAGTGTATTTCAGTCACTCTGCCTGTTCTGTTCCCCACTCTGCCTCTGGTAAATCCTCTCACCCCCTGCAACTCTGGCCTGTACCCTAGCTCTTATATGCATAAATAAATAAATCTTTAAAAAACAAACAAACAAAAAAAGAAACTTATATAAAAGGTAAGAGCTAACTAAGACTGGGTTCCACCTAGAGAGACATGTCTCCTGGTCTTCATTACTTGGAGAAGAGGCTGGCACTGGACAAGGAAGTCCCTGAGAAGCTGCAGGCATCAATCTTGGCGAAAATACGTAGAATCTCCCATATAAGAAATGTTAGAATGCATTCACTCAGAAAAGGCAGTTCAGAAACAAGTTGGGAAAGGAAAAAGACAAAGTATTAAAGTTGGGTGTGTTCTTTAGAGATCTATTCAGCTATAACCAAAGCAAAGATAGGCTCAGATAAAGTCAGTGAGTTCCAGTAACAAGCTCTGTATTATGACAGCACCACAAATCTATACTTGCAAGTCAGACTTCTTATATTTCTTACGTTCCTCTGTAATTCCTCCCTTGGTATCCAGTAAAGTTCCAGGCTATCTTAACAATGCTAACATGAAATGAGAGTGAGGGTTTTAATCTACTCTTTAATCCACTCTTAGGCTTGAATAATAAAGTATTATCAGTCTACTATTAAAGGCAGGCAATGGGTGAAGATGGTAGTGAGCCAAAAGAATTCTACAAAGGCAGGCAAAATTTCAGAGACAATAAGGACTGTAGAATCCACCTTTTCCATATGAGAATTCTCTTTTCAATATTAAATCTTGACAACTGTGGTTTTGTTTTATCATATTCTAAAATTTTCCTCCACTAAATAGAGAGCAGCTTAAAAGAACCTTGACATATTTACCAATGCAGTGTGTACATGTGCTTGGAACACAGTATGAACAGAAATATTTATTGATGGACTAAATAAAGTAATTCATGAGCTTTCAAAATTTTAGGGCATCAAGTCCAATTCTTTTTGTTGCAGGGAAAATCAGGGTGCTAACCCTAACCTCTTCAGTCATCATTCACAAGCCCAACAGCCCACCAGGGGTTTTGGAGAAATAAAAGGCTTTGTACTCCACCTATAAGGTCACGGTGGTTTTTGCCGGCACCTGCAACCTTTCTGAAATGTTTGGGTGTACCCCAACCAGATACCATCAGTTGATTAGCTGCTCCAAGGTTTCCTCGCAATCCACTGGAAAATGAGAAACCAAGCTAAGGAATAAGAGATTCTGTACCTGATTTCCCCATCCAGGCCACCAAAATGTTGCAGGGAAACTCTGGGTGCTGGCCGGAAGAGCAGGGGTGAATGAATTCACCAGAGACAGTGGTGAACAGAAAAGGCAGATTTACTGAGATACCCTGCAAGAGAGTAGGGGGGCAAGATGGGAGATTTGTCTGTATGGGAAGAAGGGTTTGGGGCTCTCTTTTATAATCGTTTCTGTGGGCTTTTTCATAACTAGGAGAGTCATTATCTGCCAGATGCTATCTGCTGGGACATCAGGTTGTGGTGGGACTTGCACACAGGAGGTATCCTGCCTGGTTGTCTGCCCGATTTCCTATTGGTCATGTGGACCTCTGGCCAGGTTTCGAAGGCAACTCTATAGGTTTCCCTTTCTTATCTCTTTTGTGTCTCCCAGCATTGTTAAGATGAGCAAAGATTAGTTTTAGCTCTATTAAATGATATCCTGACACTTATCCCATAAGTGTACACCTCTCCACATAGGACTTTCATAGTCTGTCAAAAAAGTCATTTAACAAATATCAATTAAGTGTCTACAATAGTTCAGGCGCTGTACTTTCAGGAACCACAACAAAAACAGATCAGTCACTGATGCAACAAACTTTATTGAAGGCTTATTATGTCCAGGCATTACAGTAACCCTAACAAGTAAGATCCCATAACATCTTAGAGAAATCATAAAGAAAAAAAGTGGAGAACAATTATCTTTAACATTGTTTAAAAAGAAAAGGTTAAGTTTTTTCAAAGGCATAGGTAAACTATCAGGAGTCAGAGATCAGAAGAAAGCAGGGTTTCAAAGGAACTTACAGAATATTGCCATTCGGGAATGGGACATCATTTGTGGCTTAACCTAAGAGTTCAGAAATGAAGATGTTTCTATCTGAAGCTTCTATCTGAAGCAATTAATGAAAATGGCTTTGTAGGTTTTGATGAAAATCAATAGTCTACCTTCAAATCTTAGGCATTATGTCAAGTAATATTAACAGTGGATTTTGAGAAGCAAAATACAGATCAATTCTCTATTAAGGAAAACCATAACTGAAACTGACCTCTAAATAATCAAGTTACTTTCAAGTGTGAGTATATGACCTACAGAAACAGACTTGTTGACTTAAGTAACAATAAAATATAAGTAAAGAATAATCTTGACTTTAACGATGGGTCTTACATAATTAACAGTAACTCTTTAATCAAATATTTTCTATTTTAACATTATATATTAGGTAAGTGAAAATAAAACCAATATAGCTAATACCGCATTTCTTTTGACTAAAATCAAATGAAATTTACCCTTCAGTTTCTTTCAGAGATGCTACTTCAGTTTTTCCAAATACTTTGAAATGCATCCTGCTAAAGTTATTTCCTTTGAGGTAAATGCACTGGAGTGGGAATCAGAACACCTAGGAGCTAGCCCTTGCTCCACCATTATCAAATGAATTTTGGCATAAATTTAGAAGTTTGTCATGCATAAAATGAAGCTGTTAAGAGTTTAAAAAACGATGCAAACCTACCTCTACTCCCCAACCATCAACCAAAACAAAAAGTAGCTTAGGTTTTATAAAAGTATTTACTAAAGTAACTTAAGTTTAATTACCTTCCTCCTCTTAATTGATTCAATAAACTTACTCATGAATTGCTTATAAAAGTTAGATTGTGCAGTTTCAGCTCTAATAACTAGAAGAGAAAAACTTATTAGGACTGAGCAAGTGACGTCTATCAATATTTTCCTTTAAAGACAATCCTGTGACAAAAAATGTCTAGGCTCAGAGGCAGTCCTGAAATTCAATAAATTTTGCCTCAACCAAAAAATTAAATATTCATAAGGGGTTTTTCTGTGAATTTCAAAAGGTTTCTACATTCATATATTCCATTCTGCCATGAATTTCTTCTGTTCATTGCAAACTGCTTGCCAGTGGTTTATGTTTACAGTGTTTTCCATTGAACCTGCATAGAAAATGAATCAAGCACCATTTGGCCATTTGTATAGAATATGATGTAGACAAGAACATGTCATTAATATATTCATCCTAGTTAAACTGAATAATCTACATGAGTGAAATGTGCAATATGAATAAATCTATCAAACAAGTTTATTGAGGCACAGTATACGCAGAGTGCTCAAATGACAATAAAGACAGCAATAAATACCTTGTTGTTATCATCCCTCTGCTGCAATTTTGAGTCACCAAAAAAATATTCTCTATCTCAGCATAATTTGAATTTCCATTAAAAAAAAAAAAACCTAACTACTGTTTTATGGATAAGGCCCCCATCATACATCTCTACAGTGTTACACTTTTTGGAATGCCAGTTGATAATATCAAGGCAGATATTAACAATTCTTGATAAATTATCCTAACTGGTAAATTCAAGCAGCATTCCTATGAAAATTAGCATCATCAGCCTTCTTTCTGCATATTACAGGATATTAAGTTAAAGCAAAAATGCTATTGTCTGAAAAACGAGACTAATAAAGGCAGAACAACATGCTCTACTTCTGCAAAATTAAGCAAAAAGAAAGGAAACAAGCTAAGGGAAGGAACTTAAGAGCTATTTGCAGCCGTGGTCCCTTGCAAGTTCCATGTGGTTCCCCTTGAGCGCGAAGAAATAAAAAGACGGTAAAAAAAAAAATAGGAGGGCACTCTTACTTTACGGAGAAAAGCCCCAGTTATTCCTTATACAACTTGCAATATTCACTGAATTCAGGGTGCGAAGTACGGGAGATCTGGAATGGGTAGGAACGTATGGGAGATGGAAGTGACATTTCTTTACTCTCAGTTTGGAACCCTAAGAATTGTACAGAGTACTCCAAAACCCTTAGCTTGCAAAGACCTCTGGCAGCATCCTCCACACACACTGAAGGGTCCCGCAGCTCCTCAAGTCTCTCCTCCTGTGCTCTGAGTTGGATCAAGGTCCAGTGGCCAGCGCACCGTTAGTGTCCACACACACACACACACACACACACACACACACCCCACACACACCCCGAAAGGGTCCGGCAATTCCTCCCTATCCCCTCCGGTCCTCCGAGCTGGACCAAGACCTCCTGTGCCCTGAGTTGGATGAAGGTCCAGTGGCCGGCGCACTATTAGTCCAAGGGCCACCCCAGCCCCGACAGGGGCCACCCGGCCACGGGCGAGCCCAGGGCGCACGCCGCTGTCCCGGCTGGGTATCCCCGAGCCCCTCAGCCGCGGCGGCGCGCAGCTCAACGCCAGCAGAACCAGGATGCGCATTACAATAAAAACTTGAGGGAGCACGTCCACACTTGCGCCTACGTGGAAGCACAGTCCCAGGCGCGGGCTGGGGGCTGCCGGGCAGTCCCGCCCCTCTCCGCCGCAGAGGGGCAGCGGTCCGTACCTGTCCTCCGAGACGCTGATGACGCCCTCCTCCTTGGGCACGATCACGGCCATGTTCACCACCTCCTGAGACCCCTCGACCCGCTGCAGCAGGATCGGCTTTCGGGTCAGAGGCTTGGGCTGGATCTCCGCCGCCATCAGAGGAGGGGGCGCGCCAGGGGCGCCGCCGCCAACCGCGCTGCGAGGCCGGGCTGAGACCGCGCGAACGCTGGAACTGGCTGAGACAGGGACTCTGGTTGGCCGGCGCAGGACGCCAGGAGCCGGGGATCATAGCCTGGCCGCCGCTCCGGGAACGACTCTGCGCTCCCGGCTTCGGGTACCGAAACCGCCAGCGCCGGGACTGCAACCCGGCGCCACCACCAGAGGAGGGGGCGGAGAGCCAGGGGGCGGGGCCTGCGGGGGCGGGGCCTGCCGCAGGGGGTGGCCGCTGGTGGGCGCCTGGGCGGCTGCACTTCCGGAACGGTGCTGGAGGAGGAGGGCAAACCTGGAAAAGGAGGCGGGCGCTAGTAGCCCACTGCGCGTGCGTCAGCCCACAGCTCATTTCCGCCCCGCCCCTCCGCCGTTGCTGCAGGCCTTACCGCGCTGCCGCTAGGACGCATGCGCTTTCCCTTCCCTGTGGTCCCCTACCGCCTTCCACCTTCCACACCCAGTGTTCAATTCCCTCCCCCTTTACTCTCCCGTGAACGCGCGTGTACACTTTGCCGGGAACGCGCTCGACAGAGGCCCCGCCCCCTCAAAAATCCCTGAAAATAGGGCGGAGGTGGGGCGGGGAAAAGCGCGGCAAGAAAAAATCTGAAGAGCAGTTCCGCAAGAAGGAAAGCTTAAGTCGTTGGAATGGGACTGAGCATGCGCACGATTACCTGCGCGGCTGGAACAATGAAGCGTGGCCTCAGGCCGCTTGCCGCTTCCGACGTGCACCAGGTCCAGGCTGCGCGGGGTACCCCATGGGCCCCTGGGAGTTGTAGTTTCTCCGAACTGCCTCACCTTGTCGAGGAATAACCTATCGTCCACTCAGTTATCCTGACCCCAGGAACATGGCGGCCTCCGACGCAATTGGCCGAATAGTGTCCCGAGCTGGTTTTTAAGGCAAGGAACCGAAGGGTAACCCCCGACTGAGCAGGCGATTGCTCCTGGCGGGTTCAGGCGCTTTCTCCTAAGACTGGAGCTCCAATGATGGAGAAAAAAAGAATTTCTCAAGCATCTCTGAGGGAGCTTAGAGATCAGACCTCCTCTTCCCCCTCGTTTTCTTAGGTGACCGAGTTACTAGCTCATGGTTACTTTAGGTTCAAGTTAGGGCTGTACCCTACATCTCATTCTTACTACACTCCCACCCTCTTGAAGGAAGCTCTCTGGGCCTGATTTGTTTCCATTCCCAGCTATCTAACCTTTTTAGCTTGTTTCTAGATGGTAAGAGTTATTATCGTTATTGTGTGAAAGTTAAATGCCTGGAAAGAGGTCTAGTATGTCGCGTCCATTATGTTATAACCCCAGTGAGCCCTTCCAGAGATAATTAGCTAACGAGTGGTCGTGGTCTATGTGATATGATTGGGCTAGCAAGGGCTCTGGAAGTATGAGCTGGGCAAAAATTGGAGCAGGCCTCTGGAAGTATATTTATAAAGCATGTATTTCACAGCCAGGAGAGTATACTACAAAGGACCTGTCTCAAAGCACACTGCACAATTCTTTCTTTACCACCTCCCCTCTATGCAGAAATTCTGTAAGGCCTGTGATAGCGGAATTGAGGTATTTTCTAGCTTTGGAACCTAGAACAAGACGCTCCACTTCTTTCAGCGTCAGGTACCCCATCTGTTAGTGGATGTTAATACCTACTTTGCGTGCTTATTGTGAGGTTTCCAAATCACTTATTTTAAATACCTTCTGCACAATAGGTCCTTTCAAGTTCCAAGGATTCAAATGGGGGCCTATACTCAGCCTACCACAGTGGTTTAAATACCATCTATATGTTCCTAAACCCCTTATTTTTATCTCTGCTCCTGACCTCACTCCTGAATTCCAGGCTCATGTATCTAATGCTGTTCCTTTTTAATCACTTAAATGTTTAATCAGTGCCCCAAATATTCCCAAACAGTATCTTTAAATCTAATCCATCATTCCCCCAGTGGTTCAAAACCAATTTCCTAGGAGTTACCCGATTCTTCTCTTTTCCTCACAATTCATATCCAAACCATTAATGAGTCCAATCAGCTCTACCTTCAAAGAACATCTTAAATATTCCCTCATATATAATTTCTACCCTTTTCCAAGTCACATGGTCTCTACTGTCTTCCCCCCAAAGCCATCCAATCCATTTTATCACAGTAGTTAATATATATATACAAAGTCTGTTACTCTTCTTTTTTTGTTTAAAGATTTATTTATTTATGCTTACAAGAACTGGAGTACAGGCCAGAGGTGCTGGGGGTGAGAGGATTCACCAGAGACAGAGTGACTGAACAAGCAGACTGACTGAAATACACTGTTAAAGGGAGCAGCAGGTGAGACAGGAGAGATCTGCTGAGCCATGTGAGTCAGCTCCCTGACGGGCCTGGGGATCGAACTCCGGTTGCAGAGGCTGCTGATAACTTCACAGCGCTATACTTAACCCCTTGTGCCACCAGGGAGGCCCAAAGTCTGTTACTCTTCTGATTAAAATTCATCAGTTGCTTACCATTGCATTTGGAATAAAATGTCTCTCCAATTTCAGTATTGATCAGTACTGACCAAGCCCTGGCTTGGAAATTACCCAGAATCATCAACCTCCTTCCTACAAGAGGTCTTTGCACCAGCTGTATTCAGTCTTGGCTACTTTATTATCACTCAGGCTTCAGCTCTAATGTTAGTTCCTTAAAGAGTCTTAGCCTCACATTCTAAAGAATCCCACATATTCATAATACTGTCATACCACCGTATTTTATTTTCTTCGTAATACTGTCATACCACCGTATTTTATTTTCTTCATAGTACTTCTGCCCAAAATGATCTTTTTTTTGTTCTTATTTATTTCCCAGTCCCCCTATTCTAGAAGAGAACCTCCAAGAAAGGATGTTGTCTGCCTGTTCATCATTGTATTCCTAGGCCCTGGAATAGTAACTGGTATATTAGGAGGCATGCTGTAAGTACTTGTTGAATGAATTAATGAATGCATAGAAAGAAAGATGCAGGTCTGGATTTTTTAAAAACTATTTTCTTAGAAAATAATGGAAATACTGAATCCAGAACTTGTCCTAATTCCTGTGATGGTGTCAACATTGGGAGAATAAACAAAACTGCCAATCATACCCAAGAGGCAGATGATGATACCAATATGGTAAATGCAACAAGTGAGTCATTGGTATTCAAAGTAACATGAGATAAATAGTAGACTGTGGTTCTTAATCTTTTTAGGTTTCAGTCTTCATTAAGAATCAGATGAATATTATGAAACTGCTGAAGTAGGGGAGGCACATATCCATGTACAGACTGAATTCTACATGCAGTTTCATGAGGCACATAACTATCAGAAGCCCATGTTAAGAACTCTTGTCCACTCTAGGGAAATTTAAGTGTACCTCGTCCTACTCCTCCATTCATAAGAAAGGATATTCTAATGAGGATCAAGAATAGAAAGAAGCAGCTTACAAGAAATATGATTCTCAGACTTTTCATATACCACCTGAAGAATTTTGGGATAAGTTTAAATATTTTAAAGAGTCTGAGTTCTCAGAGTTTGTAGATATCAACCTTTATTTTAATTATTCTGATTGCACAGGATGTTTTAGTGCTCTCCCTACAGTATTTCCTAATATTAAAATCTGTAATTTATTTAGTATATTAAGGCCATATAGCTCTAATTTTAAAAAGTTTCTCCTACATTAACTGATGCCTATAATTGTCAATACACAATAAAACAAACATATATTATATATTAGAAATGTATTTATTTAATAACATATAACAAAATAACATATATTAGAAATGTATTTATTTAATAATTCTTAAACATAAATAGTAAATTTTTAACTAGAAATATTTAATGAAAATTATTTAATATGAACAAGGCTAGGTTTTTATATTCCAAAGATAAATAATGACAGAGCTAGAATTAGCAGGATTCAGATCAATTTTATTTCTATATTTTATTTTGTAAGTATAAGGGCTGTGAAACCATATTTACATAAATAGTTGATAACAGAAGGATTTTTTCCTATATCAATGCCTCTTAATTCTTTGAGCTTTCATAGCTACATGTTAAAAATCACATAGGAACAAAAACATATATCTGATAAGGAATTTTTATCAAGAACATATAAAGAACTCTTACAACTCAATAATAAAACAACAAATAACCCAATTTTTCAAATTGGCAAGGAATAGACATTTCTCCAAAGAAGACAGAGAAATGGCCAATAGACATAGAAAAAATGATCAGCACTATTAACCATCAAGGGAATGCAAATCAAAAGCACAGTATTTAAGAGAAAGGAAACCTTAGGTCTACATAAAAATGTGTACTGGAATACCCATAGCAGAATTATTCATAATAGCCAAAAAAGTGGAAATGATCCAAATGTTCATCAGCTGACAAATGGCTAAAATATGTCATATCCACATAGTAGATATACAGTGGAATCTGTATTCACTAATAAAAAGAGATAAAATTCTGGGCCTCCCTGGTGGTGCAAGGGGTTAAGCACAGCACCCTGAACTCAGCCTCTGCAGCATGAGTTCATCCTGGCCCGGCCAGGGAGCTACCCACATGGCACAGCAGACCTCTCCTGTCTCGCCTGCTGCTCCCCTCAGCAGTATATTCCAGTCAGTCTGCCTGTTCTGTTTCCCACTCTGTCTCTGGCGAATTCTCTCATCCCCCACACCTCTGGCCTGTACCCCAGTTCTTGTTTGCATAAATAAATAAATCTTTAAAAAAACGGATAAAATTCTGACACATGCTGCAGCATGGATGAACTTTGAAAACACTATGGTAAGTGAAAGAAGGCAGTCATGAAGACTCACATATTGTAGGATTCCATTTATATGGAACATCCATATAATAGCAAATCTGTAGACACAGAAATCAGACTAGTGGTTGCCAGTACTGTGGGGGAAGGCAAAGAAAGGGGTAGAGGGATTCCAAGGGTACAGGCTAAGAATACATAGGGTTTTTTTTTCGAGATGATGAAAATATTTTAAAACTGTTTAACATGGTGACTGTAGAACTTTGTGACTATACTAAAAAGCATTGAATTGTACACTTTAAAATGGTGAATTTTATGCTAGATGAGTTGTAGTTGTCTATTCCCCAAAATTATTTGTGGTGACTTACTGACAAATTCTATTATGTCTCCATTCATTTTATTGTAACAAGTATTAGAAAACACCTAACTTGTGAAGGGATTTTTTACCACATTTATTAAAGTAATTTATTTTCTCAATTTCTCGGAAGTATACAAAAACATATTATGTGACTATTTTATCTGCTACTCTCATTTAGAGGCACTTTTTTTACTAAACCTTGTACACTAGAAAAGAATTGGGAGAATTTATACCTTTGCCAATACAATTTTTTTCAATAAGATATTCTTTCTTATCACATGCTTACATATATTTTTCTCTGAATTTTAGAGCTACAAGTTTTTTATGGGAAAAGTCCACCATGTAGTATGATTATAAAAGTCAGGCAGTATAATCAGTATAATCAGTCAGGCAAGGCAGACTTTCTGTCAGGTAAATTATTTTCCGTTCAAATAAATATTAATATATTCTTTGAGGAATAGTATAAAAGTATAATGAAACAAATATTATAAGATAGATTATAGTTACATTCAAGACTTCAGTGATATAAATCTAATATAATTATTTACAATTTTTAATTACTTAATTGGTAGCAAGTAGTAAACCAAATGCTTTTTTTATTACTTAACATGTGACTTGAGCGATAAATTTTGGTGAAGGAAGAAAAGTAACGGAAGATATGATATTCTTTCAATAATGGTGTATGTATATAAATATGGTGAACTCTGGTGTCAGACTTTTGAGAAAAATTAGAATCAAACAAAAAGCATAAAGGACTCCATTGAATTTTGTTAAATAATAATTGAAAATGCCTTATGTATTTAATGAAAGCAAAAGGTATATATGCCTTAAATATAATTGATCTAATACTAGTATATGATTTAATTTTTTGTTAATAGAAAATAGGAAATATTAACATTTTATTCTATTTTTTTAAATTTATTTATTTATGCATGCAAGAGCTTGGGTATAGGCCAGAGGTGCCAGGGGTAAGAAGATTCACCAGAGAAAGAGTGGGGAGCAGAACAGGCTGATCTACTGAAATACATTGCTGAGGGGAGCAGCAGGCAGGGCAGGAGAGATACCTTCCCGGCTGGGGATCGAACTTGTGCTACAGTGGCCAGCTATAGCTTGACAGCACTGTGTCTTTAATCTCTGTGCCACCAGAGAAGCCCCCAAGATATTAACTGTTTATAAAATTAGATGATAATTGATCATAAAGCTCAAATCATGTCATGATTTGATAAACAGTTTCTCACTAGTTTATTGAATAATGTAGCTGAAAAAATTAAGTTTAACAGTGGGTTTTTCCATCCTATTTAAAAAAGGTTGTGGTACTAGAATACATTCCAATTGCATGGAAAAGAATTAGCATTACCAGTTTAGTCTACTTTGGCTTTTCTAAAGTTTTTTTTTTTTTTTCTAGTTAATGATGTGCTGCAGATGAGTATTGAGAATAATTGAAGAAACTGCTTATGTTTAAATTCATAAAAGAAAATGTTTACAGCTTTCATTATTTCTTACTGCTGCTCTTTTCACTTTGCACTCACAGTACTCCCCTTCTGCTGTGATGAATTCCTTGACAATAAAAGAGATCAAGAGGCAAAGTCTTTAAACAAAAAATGTCATCACTCTCACCAACTTTTTCTACCTATAATTCAGAACCTCTTATGAGGAGCCAAAATAGCCTTGTTTTTTCTCCTTACCAGAAATAATCATAAAACAAGGAATGCCAGAACGATCTGTGGGTTAAGTTAAGCAATTTCCCCTAAGGAGTAGGGAGGGGGTGAAAGGGGTGAAGGAGTGAAACAATACAAACTTCCAGTTATAAATAACTGTGTGCTTGAAAGATCTAAGAATATAGATCTTAAAAGTTCTCAACAAGAAAAAAAGTTGCTAAATATGTGCAGTGATGAATTTTAAATAGACTCATGGTGATCATTTTTCAATATTCATAAATATCGAGTCATGTTATACACCTGAAACTAATATAATGTTATATGTCAATTATATTTCAATTGTTCAAAAGTTTTCTCTGAATCCATATTTTATTGTTTTTGTGGTTGTTTTGCTTTAACCCCATGGCAAATCCCCATATTAACACTTGGGTTGGGTAAAAGATGTGAAATCAAGAGAAGATCTGATATAAATGAGGCATATGCTGAAGCAAATTGATTTTGGGAAAAAAATACTTGTAAAAGCTGAGAATCTGGAAATGGATACCCTTAAGATAAACCGTGTCTGTGTACCAATTGAGCATTTTCACAGAACAGAACCTTGGGCCACAGTTTAGACACAGCTGATCTAGAAATAGAAAGGCGAGCTTGCCTCTCTATAGGGGCAGGGAGCTTTTAAGCAGGGAGAGGATTAAAGGATAGGAATTATGCTTAATAATTGAACAAAGGCAAAGTCTTCTGTATGGATTCACTCTTGGAAGGCCAATCAGTGGATGGGATAAGATCAGGGAAAGGAAAGCTCAGAGCCAAGTCTAAGGCTTTTTCCAGCAGTAAACAGTATGCATTTTTCTCACTCACTTTCGGTTGCTTAGCCTGGCAATAGAAGAATGGACAGGTGTGAAATAATAAGAAATGCATATATCTGCTTCCAATTGTTGGCACAGAACTAATACCCTTGTAAATTTCTAAGTGAAAAGATCACTAGAATCATCTTTTGTTCTAATGAGGGAACTGTGGGTTGGGCTCCTGGATGGCTCCTGGATGGGGCCTGGTCATCAGAAAGACCACATCGTGACTAGAGGCTTGTGGTTTTTGGACTTGTTCCTCCTAGCCCTCTACTTCTCCAGAAAGGGGAGGGGGCCTAGAAACAGAGTTTATAATTTGTCATGCTTAAGTAAGGAAGCCTCCATAAAAATCCTAGTAGCATGGGGTTCAGTGAGTTTCTAGGTACCGGGCTATCCATGTTCAGCAAGAGTAATTCTGTAGGTACAGAAGCTCCTGCACTTGGGACCCTTCTGAACTTTATCTCACTTATCTCTTCATCTGGTTATTTATCTGTATCCTTTATAATATCATTTAATAAACTGGTGAACATAAGTATCTCCCTCAGTTCTACCAGGGCTCTCTAGCAAATTGATTGAACCCAAGCAGGGAGTCATGGGAACCTCCCTAGGATTGACATCTGAAGGGGGGGGGGCAGGGAAGGGCAGTTTCATGGGACTGAACCCTTAACCTATGGGATCTGGCTCTATTTCCAGGTAAAGAGTGTCAGAATTGAGATAAATTATAGGACATGAACTGGTGTCAGAGATTTGTTTGGTTGGGGAAAACTTTTCCAGGCTGGGGTTTAAGAATTGGAGATTCAGATTTGCAGGAAAAACATAAGAAAGTGATAAAGGACCCTGGATCTGGATGAAATGATGTTCCAAACAGGAGGCTGAGGCAGGATCTTAGATGTCAGAACAAGAGAACAAGGTTGGAGGGGACCAGGGTGTCCTTCAGCCAATCACTTAATCTACTGGAACCCCACCCCCACCTTCTTCATCTGTAATGTGGATAATTACAGCACCAATCTTACTTTCATAGTGTTTGTGAGACATGAATAAGATCATTCATTTGAAGAAACAGACTAGTGTCTAGCAAGTAACTCCTCTAAAGGAAGAGGAGGAAGATAAGAAGCTGGAAAGGAACCATAGGGAGGACAGATAGAGAGAAAAAAAAAGGGTGGAAATGATGACTGTCTCCAAATAAGGGAAAATCAAATTATCAGAACTGGGTCCCAAGTCAGGGTCTTGTCTCTGCCTTGTTGCAGATCCCAGCTTTTCAAAAGGCAAAAATGTGAACAAAGAGAATCAAAGATAATTTCCACCTTTTTTGAAGTCGGTTGCTTAGAATTTGTTGTTTGGAACTCTGAATTTTCTTGCTGACTCCAATATGCATTGGTGGCTTTCAGGCATCCTCAAGTCCCTAATGTGTAAAACTAAGGGTCCCTTGGCATAGAACTATAATGTATCTCCAGAAGAATATCTTTTTAAGTCATATCGAGGAACATCAGATAAAATTCTTTCATTTGCCTTCCTCCCCCTATCCCAGGGCTTGCCTGGCGGCAGGTACAATCACCTCCTTAGACCTAGGAATCCAATGGAAGGGTGCAGGGATTGTCCTCAGTGAATCAGAGGACAAGACCTCCAGCAAGGGCCGCAGCTCCCATTTCCTTTGCTCTTCCAGTGTGAGGGACTAGCCATCCTGCTTGGTCTTCCACTGGTAGCCTCTCATGTTTATGATCAAACCAGTGTCCTTTTTATGACCCATTGAGTAACAGAGAACAATCTGTGGATTTTCTTCTACTCACCTTGCTGAAATCAAGCACAAGACTTCTGCAAGGTTTCTCCCTTAATCTTGCTCTGCAGCCCTCCCCTCTCCTCTCTCACCCATGCAGGCTTAGGCTAAAAATAGATTTTCATGTATACAAAGGGCTGAAGTCAGGTTCATTCATCTACTTATCTATTTTTGTAGACTAATTTTTTTAGAGCAGCTTTAGGGTCACAGCAAAATAGAGCAGAAAGTATAGCATACGCTTAGGCCCCAGTGCCCATACATGCACAGCCCCCACCAAAGTGCAATCAATCAATGAACCTACATTGACACATCATTATCACCCAACGTCCATCGCTTCCCTGGGGTTTACTCTCTGTGTTGTACATTCTATCGGTTTGAACAAATGTGTAATGCCACATATCTCCCATAGAGATAATTTCACTGCACAAAATTCCTGTGTTCCACCTATTTATCCCTCTCTCCTCCCACCCTGAAAACCATTAATAGTTTTACTTTCTCAGTAGTTTTCCCTTTCCCAGAATGTCATGTAGTTGAAATCATACAGTATGTAGCCTTTTTCAGATTGTCTTTTTTCGCTTAGTAATTGACTTTTAAGAGTTCCCATGTTTCTTCATGGTTTTGATTGCTCATTTGTTTTTTTTTTTGTTTGTTAGTTTATTTAACAAATGCTCATTTCTTTTTTAGCACTGAATAATATTCCATAGTCTGGATATACTACATTATATCCATTCAGTTACTATAGGGTATCATGGTTGCTTCCAGATTTTGGCAGTTATGAATGAAGCGTCTATCCATGTTCAGGTTTTTATGTGGATGTAAGTTTTCATTCTTTGGGTAAAATACCAAGGGGCCTGATGGTTGGATTATATGGTAAGAATATATTTATTTTTTTAAAAAACTGCCAAACTGTCATCCACAGTAGCCTTTCCATTTTGTATCCCCACCAGCAATAAATGGGACTTAGTTACATCTATATTTCAAAAGAAAACCTACTCTCCTAGAATTTTCTGCAGAGGAACTAGGAGGGCAGCATAGGATGAAGTGGGAGAAAGAACCGTCCTTAGGAAAATAGCAAACATGAGGATGAAATAGTGAAAGAAAAGAGAAGAAGAGGAAGAGAGTATACATGTCTGTTCCTTTTTTGCTTTCTTTTTACTAATAACCCATGCTGCCTCAAACTTTCCCTAATGCTAATCTTGGATTGGACTGAAGTAAGAGACAAGGATATGACTGAAGAGGTCTGCTGCTAGAAGGGCAGAGGAATTCAAGTGCATTTGTTCAAAGGAAGTGGTGGCTTTCAAAAAAATGTTTGTCAACTGAAAGCATAAATGAAAATGTAAGCTCAGTTTGCTATTCATGTGTCTTAATTCTAAAGTCCTTAGTTCAGCTCAAGGATACTCAGACTACTTCACAGTTCCATAGACACTCTCTAGTCATTCTTTCTTCCAGCAAGTATGTGTTCAAAGCCTGCTAGATGCCTAATGTGATGAACTCTTGATTTTATCATTAGAGCAGCTTTAGAGCCATTGGCTCTAGGGTACAATGTACAATAAAAGAAAAGGAGTTGGTGTGACAAGGTTTTGGCTTAAAAATAAAGGTCAGGACTATGCTGAGGTTCTAGGGTGACCAATTAATGTGGTCAGTTCTGCTGTAAATCTTCAACATTACATAATATTTAATAGAATGTATAAAGGAATGAAATGGGACCTATAAGGAATGAATATTGCCCATATGAAGTAGTGAAATGAGGAGAGAAAGGTGAACTATCATTTAGGTAAAATGTTTTCTTCCTTTAGAAGAAATCAATCTTTAACTCTCATATATATAACTACAGTTGCTATATTAAGAAATGGATATTTTGTGTCTGTGGCAACTTTTGAGGATAACACATTTTTCTACAAGTACCTGCTTTCAGTTCCATTTCCACCTAAAATTATACACATGAAGATAAATAATTTTGTTAAGAGATAATGAGATCATCTTTTCCTCAAGAACCATGGCTAGGGCCTCCCTGGTGGCGCAGCAGTTGAGCACTGAGTTGCGAAGCTGCCTGCAGCCTCTGCAGCGCTGGTTTGATCCCTGGCTGCCAGGCGAGGGTCCCACATGGTGGGCAGACCTCTCCTGCTGCGCCCGCTGCTCCCCTCAGCAGTGTACTTCGTCTGTCTGCCTTTTC